TGTGTGTGTGTGTGTGTGTGTGTGTGTGTGTGTGTGTGTGTGTGTGTGTGTGTGTGTGTGTGTGTGTGTGTGTGTGTGTGTGTGTGTGTGTGTGTGTGTGTGTGTGTGTGTGTGTGTGTGTGTGTGTGTGTGTGTGTGTGTGTGTGTGTGTGTGTGTGTGTGTGTGTGTGTGTGTGTGTGTGTGTGTGTGTGTGTGTGTGTGTGTGTGTGTGTGTGTGTGTGTGTGTGTGTGTGTGTGTGTGTGTGTGTGTGTGTGTGTGTGTGTGTGTGTGTGTGTGTGTGTGTGTGTGTGTGTGTGTGTGTGTGTGTGTGTGTGTGTGTGTGTGTGTGTGTGTGTGTGTGTGTGTGTCTGTGTGTGTGTGTGTCTGTATAACGCATAACTCATGAACCGATTCACAGAAAAACACCAAATTTTAAACTTAAGCTTTGTTTCAGCGTCCAATGAGGTGATTAGATTTTGGGCAGAGTCGGAACATCTGGGGGGGTACTTTATAGGTGGTCATTTTTATATTTTATGGAATATATCTGTTATTTACGTTTGGAGAAGAAAATTCTTTAAATAAAAGTTACTTCTAATATAATTGTCTATAATTTTTGTTTTATGCAAAATTTTCCTAAAATGGTCCGTATTCGAGAAATTTGACAAAATGTAAAAAACGTAATTTTTTATAAAAATTGTTCAAATAAAAGTTGTTTGTAATATAAATATCTATAATTTTTGTCCTATACATAATTTCTCTAAAATTGACCGTATTCGAGATATTTAAGAAAATGTGTAAATTTCGAAATTTGAAGAAAACTCAAAAACGGATAAAGGAAAAAACATTAAATTTTAAACTTAAGGTTTATTTCGGCCTGACGTGAAATGATTAGATTTTGGTCAAAGTCGGAACATCTGGGGGGGTACTTTATGGGAGGCCGTTTTTATATTTTATGGAATATATTATTATTTATGTTTGGAGAAGAAAATTGTTCAAATAAAAGTTACTTCTAATATTATTATCTATAATTTTTGCTTTATGTCAAAATTACCTGAAATGGTCCGTATTCGAGAAATTTGACAAAATGTGCAAAATTCTGATTTTTATGAAAATTGTTGAACTAAAAGTTGTTTGCGATATCGATTTCTATAATTTTTGTTCATTCATGATTTTTTTTAAATGGACCGTAATGGAAAAATTGTAGGAAAAGTGCTAAATTTAAATTTTTCTGTATTTTCGTTTTCAATGAATATCTATAAAAAATTGTTCCGAGGTAGATGTATGTGTAAAATGTATATATTTAGTTTATCCTCTAAACATTTATAGAGATGCTGCAATAGGTTGTACAAAATAACCGGAAAATGCCTATAATAACTAGATAGGAAAGTCATGTGTTGGACACATCAGATTTTTTATAGAAATAGGTGAAATATCAAATAAAATCAAAAAGCTTAACCCAACTAATAAAATATCAGACAAATGGAACAAGTCAATGTTCCTAGAACTGTTGGTACATTTGGAAATTGAAGAACTAATTTCAGGTCTTAAAAACAATGCCTCTCTGGGAATGGATAAAATAATAGCTATAGTCATTAAATTAGTTAAATCCAATATTGCAAAACCTCTCGTACATATATTCAATCTAATATTTCTAACGACAAATATTCCAATTCATTTTAAAGAGAGTTGTGTTAAAAATCTAATAGGACAGACGAAATGACAAATTATCGGCCAATTTCACTAATAGACAATTTATCAATTCGAAAAATGTTTAAATAAAAAGAGTATGGTCCTTTCTAAATAAACATAAAATAATTTAAAAAAAAAAAACAATACGGGTTCTAAAAAGGGATTGGAACAGAACTACCTTTACAAATACTTATATCAGATATACTAGCCAACTTTAATTAAAATAAAAAGAATACTGCGGTTTTTCTTGGTCTTCAGAAAGCATTTGATACAGTTTCACACCAAAAATTACTTGGAAAATTAGATAACATAGGTTTTCGCGATAATGTCTTAAAACTTTTTTGTAATTGCTTGACAGATAGACCACAACAAGTACGTGTTGGTTGTGAATTAAGTGGGAAAAAAACAGTTATAACAGGTGTTCCACAAGGCACTATCCTTGGACCTACTTTTTTTTTAATTTTTATAAACGATTTACGTTCTTATAAAGAATGTGGCCTCATATCTTATGCTGATGATACGGTCTTAAATTGTACATGGGATGAGGCTTGGTAAAATTCACAACAAGCACTAAATGATGTCAAAAATTGGTTGGATGTAAATTGTCTAAGTTTAAACATCTCTAAAACAAAATTTATTGCTTTTTCACCAACAGTTGCAGGACTCGATAAAAATCTACCTTCAATTAAAATCAATGGAGTTCATGAAGAAATAAAACAAACTAATTCAATCAAATACCTGGGTATTTGATTATTTTATATTAATTGTATATTTTGTTTTTGTGTAGCTGTATTTAATCATCAAACTGAATAATTATTTCATTTGTTGTTTTTTTTTTTCTAGAGTATAAGTTAGCCCAAATCTCTAAAAACATATTCTTTTATATTATATAATTCTGACACAACAGAAGCGTTCACCCTTAGGTGTGATTTAAAAAATAAAATTAAAAAAAAAATGTATTTCGTAAAATTAGGCAAAATATTATTATTATTATTAAATAAAAATATTCAATATCCACAATATTATTACAAGAATGTTTTGAGAGTTTATCCCAACCTCTATTACATTTTATAAATGTTTCTGTTGAAACAAACTTAGTTCCCGACGATATTAAGATTGCTACCCATTTAAGACTGATAAATTTGATCAGTGCTGTTAGAAAACTAATAGAAAAAGTAATATATCTTCAAATTATTGATTATTTAGAAGGGAACAGCTTGATGATATGCAATCAGGATTCTGTAGTAAACACAACTGCGAAACTGCTTTGATGTTAATTGGGGGTACTGGAAATTTAAAAAAAATAAATGTAGCATCGCAGTGTGTTTCTATTGATAAAGTAAAGTTTCAGAGAGTCAAAAAAAAAATAAATATCCAGGAGTTATGGTTGATACAAATTTACAATTTAAGGAACATGCTAATAACGTCATCAAAAGCATATAATTTAAAATCAACTATTTGAGGCGCTGTTCTCCACATCTCAGCAAATGGGTTAAAATGATAATTTATAATACTCTTATATTACCTCATTTTAATTATTGAGCGACTATACTGTATTTGCTCAGCCAGAATGAGCTGCAATGATTGCAAAAGTTGCAAAATAGAAGTATGAGGATAATACTGAGCTGTTCAAGATTGGAACCAATCAATTCCATGTTGAATGTGCTTCAGTGGTTGCCTGTTAAAAAATATTTGCTGTTCTATTCCTTGCTATTTATTTTAAGATTAAATCAGGAATATCCCTAATATATTTACAAAATATTTTAAGTTATAATCAGGATGTTCATGAACAATACACGAAATAAGCAAAATTTTAGAGTTTATAAGGCCACGAAAAAATGTACAAAAAATTCAGTTTTATTTAAAGGTGTACAGGCTTTTAATACTTTGTCTAAAAATATTAAAATGCTCTTCAAATGCAGCAATATTTAAAAGAAAAGTGCATGATTACTTGCTGACCATTTGATGTTTTTTTTTTATTATGTTATCATTTTAAATGCATACTTATGTATTTTAATTTTATTTTATGTGAAGACATGTATTGAGATGTAAAAAATAGTTTTTTTTTAACTAAATAAATGATTTTATATATGCACACACAAATCTATAGTTAATCAAAATTTATAGTTGATCAAAATCTATAGATGATCAAAATTTATAGTTGACACCAATCTATAAGTGAGAAAAATCTATAATTTGACAAAATCTATAGTTGACAATCTAAAATAGTTAACAAACATCAATAATTGACAAAAATCGGTAATAGTTGAGAAAAATCTATTAAAGTTTACAAAAAACTATAATAGTTGACAAAAAAATTATAAAAGTTGACAAAAATCTATAAAAGTTGACAAAAAACCTATAATAGTTGACAAAAATCTATAAAAGTTATGAAAAACCTATATAAAAGTTAAGAAAAATCAATAAAAGTTGACAAATATCTATTATAGTTGATAAAAGTCTATGATAGTTGACAAAAATATATATATACAGGGTGTCCAGAAATTAGACGGTCAAATTTTAACAGCGTAATCTACATCCTAAAATAGGAATAAAAGTTCATATAAACATAGGTCCGAAAACGTTTCGTTTTCGAGATACAGGGTATTACAAGTGAAGTCCTAGTGGCACATTTTTGTAAATATTTTCTAAAATTTGTTTAGTCACCGGGTTTCCAAGGTAAAAAAAAATAAAATTTCTGATTTCACAAGCTTATTAATTATTGTTTACACTTTCGAATAACTTAACAAGAAATTTTCAAATGCTTTTTTCTTGAAAATGGTGCGTCCTAGCGAGATGCAAAAGAAGTAGCTTTATTATAAAAAAAACATTGGTTTTCCAAATTTTATAGTCAAAAATATTAAAAACTGTCAACAAAAAAAACTTAGGGCAATTTTACCCTAAGCCCCCTAATTTACCCACCTATGAAGATGATCAAAAACTGGGGTTTAGTATATTAAATAGAGCGTAAAAAGGTTAGCATTTGTACCAAATTTCACTTAGTTATCTTTAAACGTTTAGAAAATATTCACAAAAGAGTGTCATCAGGACTTCACTTTTAACACCCTGTATCTCGGAAAAGAAACGTTTTCGGTCCTACGTTTATATAAACTTTTACTATTTTAGGATGTAGATTATGCTGTTAAAATATGACCGTCTAATTTCGGAACACCCTGTATATAGTTGAATCCGAAAATAATAGGTAGTAATGAAATGTCAGTATTGTGTGAAGACTGCTGCTTAACATGTTGTCAAATTATATATTTTTTCTCTAGTTCCAATACCAGTCTTTGTATTAAGATAATGATAAAAAATATATTATAAATTTACCCCCTTGTGATCTGTGATGAACTTCTCAGGATGAGCCCCCTTTTTTTCTTTATTAATAAACGGTCCTTCGGCGTGGACTCCCAAAACGGCAGCACCATGTCGGCCCCCTTTCTGTCTCTTTATTTTCGGTAAAATATCATGGTAAATGTAGTAGGGTGATGTGACCACTGTGGGACAAAATGAGGTGACGCCATGTGCTAATAGTTTTTTCGATACGGTTTTGACTGCTAGTTCGGTGTCTTTGTAATAAGAAAAATCATAACCAAAACCACCTTTAAGGAAAAAATATAGAGAAATTTATTTAAATTGAAATAATGTCTGTTAATACTATTTAAGTCCTTTGAAAAACTATTACTTAAATTAAAACATTTATATAGGTTTCAAATACAATAATTATCTGTTTATAGAGGTACATATTTTTATGTTTACCAATTACTTAACAAAACTTTATTACCTATTGATCATTTTATTGCATTGTAGTAAAAATCTATTGCAAATAATCCAATTTTCAATATGTTTTTGAACCAAAAACATTTTAGTTTTAATTCATGACAAATTTAAAATTGGCTGATTTATAGAAGCTGAAACTAGCAGCCAGAGTGTGTGAAAAAATGCATACAAGTTAAATATTACAAAATAAAACAATTTTACTACTTCATTTGTCTTATTATAATAATATTAGTAATAATAACAATAATAATAATAGGCTATAAAAATAAATATTAGTAAAAATGAAATGAATATAGGTACTTTAAAAAAAACTTTATATTCAGATTTTTTTTAATGAAAAATTATCGAGGCTGGGTTAAATCATACATAAATAGATTCCTCAAGTAATAGGCTACAAGAACACGTCAATCGAAAATGCAAAATCGAGTGCTGGATTGTTGAAATTATTATATTTGTATGCTAGAGTAATACCTAACACAACAAACATAATGTTTTTTTAATGAAGAATTAATGGCGCTGGGTTTTATCATTCATAAATGGAATCCTCAAGCAATATGCTATAAGAATAAGTTAATCAAAACTACAATATCCAGTGTTAGAATGTTGAAAATATCAAAAAAACATTTAGGCTCGAGATACATTTCCAATAAAAATGTGATTTCTCCTAACAAAAAATTATCAGCGCTGGGTTATATCATGTATCAATGAATTCCATAATCAATAGGCTACAAGAAAACGTCAATTTTAAACATAATATCGAGGGCTAAAACGTAAAATATATTAAAAAACCATTTGACAAGACAAATTAAGTAGTAAAATTGCTTTATTTTGTAATATCTAACTTGTATGCATTTTCTCACACAGGCTGCTAACTCTGGCTGCTAGTTTCAGCTTCATGTAGATTAGAATTTTAAAATGATTACATTAAATCAGAAAAAAATAAAGCTATATAAATAAATAAAATCATAATCTTCAAGGTGTATTTATTTAGCATTATTATCTCAAAAATATTGTTAAGTACCTATGTTACTTTTTAATTATTTGATTTTTTGTGGTACCTCAGGAGTATAATTTTGGACAGGATCTGATGATTACATCCTTGAGAAAATCATCAAAATCTTAATTTTTGAAGTCGGTCCTTAAAAACTTAAAAAACAAGGTGGTAAAGAATTACTACTAAACATACATTAAAAGCGAAGAGTTGAAGGATTTTCTAATGGACCCAATTATTAGTTTTTGACCAAATTAATATGGGACCACCCCTGAAGTACCCCCTTTCTAACAAAAAAAAATCATAGAAATCGGACACCGTGTTAAAGAATTATCGCTGAACATACATAAAAAATTGAAGTCGGTTAAAAATTATAACTATAACTTGTTAAACTTACCATTTATTTGAAGATCTATTAATCCAGGGGCAACAATCATTCCCTTACAATCAACATCGAAATGCGGGGTTCTTTTCTCACTATAAAACAACTGTTCAGAGTCAATAATAATTCCATTCCTAACATAGAGGTCTTCTTGAACAAGTTTATGATGTTTCAAAATGCGGCAATTCCAAAATTTTGTAATAATATCTTCCTGTGGTATATCTATATTATATTCCTCTTGTCCCTCTGGTGATTGCTGTACACCAGGTACATTTTCAGAACTTGATTGCACCTCCTGGGTATTTAGGAAAAACATAACCTGTCTCTACTTGGTAATTTATCTCATTTATGCATCGAATAATAACAATCACAACAAATAAAACTGTCAGCAATATTTACATTTCAAATTTAAATCAAAATTAAAGTAACTAGGCAAATTAATAAATGTAATAAAAAAAAAACAAGAACAATACACTTTCAAAACGTTAAACACTTTCTAATTTTTTACAATGTTGTCGTTATCACGACTGTCACATAAAATATAAAATACAAATAAAAAACCAAGAAAACCAGAATAGGACGCATCTGGTATTTATACAAGTTAAGTCATATATTATCTTATCTAAGAAAAAAGCTGTTGTTTTTATCGTAAAATAAAATAAATTTTTGCTATCTAATTTAAAAACAAAATCTGGTTTCAAACGAATTAGCCTACATTTGGCAACGCAGTTGTATAAACACATGGCAGTTTTGACGTTTCGTAAGTTGTCTTTTGGTAAATTCCAGGTACGTACTTTGAATATTTTAAATCTCTGTACTGGGATTTTAATCAACAGTTGTCGGTGTTAAATAGGGCTATCATACCTCCCGATTTAGGCGAGAGCCTCCCGATTTCTAACACTCCCTCCCGCTTTTTAAACTAAACTATAAAACTCCCGATTTTTCAGAAATCTCCTAATTTACCCCGAATTTACATTGAATAGATAATAAAAAATTATTAATATGCTAACGATACTATCAAATTATCGGTCATTCCGCCCATAAATATGGGCGTAGAGATTACGACGTTTGTAAATACAAACGTCGTAATCTCTACAAGCGCCATCTTTTATATGTCTGAGGGTGATGGATTTGAAAACAAACCCCACATACTTTGACAATTTGTATAAATGGAACGATATTTTCAGAAGTGGTGTAACTCAGTGCTACACTTTCGATGCAAAGGAAAAGACCTTACATTTTTTACATCTCGATTTGAAATGAGATGTGAATGAGATGTTTGTTCCATGCTAGAAAGTAAGTGTTCTGTGAAGCCTTGTTTGTCAATTTTTCCTTTGTTTATGCTAGCATGAATATAAAAGTGATTAGTTTGTTTAATTTTTGTTTATATTTAAAATTTAGATTGATTTGTAGTCTCAAAAGTCAAATTTAATAAGTATAAACTTCTAACTTGTCATTGACATTTGTCACCTGACCAAATAAAGTCTAGAGCGTTTGTTTATTACATCTACATTCAGATCTAATTCTCTATCACGTGATAAAAAATTCACAACATCTCAGATGCATCCGATGTGGATTCTCAAACGCGGCATAAGAAGCACTACATGTACTATTAAATAGACATGGGTAACGCAGCGTTGAGTTATATCAGAGACAACATTTTTTATGGAGGAAACATCTGAAGAAACTTTATTTTCATAAAACCCCCCTAGGTGAGGCTGAAACATAAGGGATATCCGCCTGTTACTGCAACGACGGTATCTCAGTAAGCGCACCTATAAAAAAAAGAAAACAACGAAACAAAGAATTATTAAAGATAGTGCAATTCTGAGGACGTCTGCTGTCTATTCTCAAGAATTTTTTTATTACAAATATTTGACGGCAAGTGGCCTGTTGTTTGGGCGAGACACATGTGAGGCCTACCTTATATTAAAGTAATTTGTACATATTTATTTTATTGGAGATCAAAAAACAAAATAAATTAAGTTAAATATACTTTGAGCATTATTTCATTCACAAATTTGTACCAAACTTTGCATCGAATCCTGGTTTATTTTAATTATTATTATCACAACGTGGGTATATAAATTATCAATTAACTAGACGATCAGTACACTACTAGAGGAAAGGGCCATATACAGTAAGTATGAATTTCACAAGGGGAGGTAGTTAAATTAAAATACGGGCTTTTAATAATTATCTACAAGACCGGGGGGTGGGAGGTTACAGTAGTTATATTTTTAAACATTTAATAAAAAAAATTTAGTTTAATTCCCAATTGCGTTATTGCCTTGAACACGGTTTGACACTTTTAAAAGGACAGCGTGCGCTGAATAACACCGGTATCACGCGATACACCGAGGTGCATCGACTTCATCCGGCGTAGGCAGTGGTGTAACGCAATACAGTGTGCCGGAGTTCGCAAAGAATTTTAGTGCGTCACCCATGTCTACTATTAAACAAACGTTAACACTTATCTTCTCTACTAACGTGTTAAAACAAATGTAGATTTTGTATGTGAAAATTCCCAGAAATTCGATCTAATCATATTTTTTTTTTTCGCCCTTTTAGGCACCGCTCTGCTCTCCCCAAACCATTTAGAACCTACAATACAACTTTTGTATAAACTTTCTGTCTTAAAATTGATAAGAGCATTTTAAGTAGTTTGCCACAAGTTTAACGATCGCCCTGTATAAATAATAATTCAGAAATGTTTTCATAACATAAAATCCGGGTTTCTCCTAAAAGTTTAGGACCTGGGGGAGGGAGTACCTCGTTGGAACCATATGGAAAACATTTTTATTATTGATTTTAGGAAAAAAAGTTATTCTTGATAAAAAGTCCTGCATGACCCAAAACTTAAAATACAGTCATCAGATATCAAATTTTTCAAGCCGTATACGAGGTTTGTCAAAAAATATGAATTTTGCTCAAGAGTAAAATACGTTTTTTTACAAAATCGAAAATTTTCATTAAGAAATTTGCTAAATTCTTCACAAACATCAACAAAAGGAAAGCGTAATTTATAACGTTTTCAGATATTTACAATCAATGTGTAGAGTTTATAAAAAATAAGAAAATCTGTTTTTTTTAGATAGATCGGTGTAATTGCATATTTAAATGTAATATTCAATTCTAATCAACTTTTCTTAATGAAAATTTTCGATTTTGTCAAAAATAAACGTACTTTACTCTTGAGCAAAATTCATATTTTTTGACAAACCTCGTATACGGCTTGAAAAATTTGATATGTGATGACTGTATTTTAGGTCATGCAGGACTTTTTATCAAGAATAACTTTTTTCCTAAAATCAATAATAAAAATGTTTTCCATATGGTTCCAACTTAAGTAGACACACTGTATAAGGACACTTACTTTATTTTATTCTTCTGTAACTAAAAAACTTGTTAATAAAAAATAAATAAAATAAAACAGCAATTTTTATTGAAAATTTTATTATTTTTTTTTGTTATTCCTATCGATATAAAAAACAAACATTGCTTTCTATTTCTTTCTCCCTAACATAACACAGAGCAATTTATTGATTTTGGGTGAAAAATGAATGTTCCATTTAATGGACACAACTGTTTATAAACATTTAACAATATTAAAAATTACATTAATGGATAATTATTACAAATTAAGAGTAATTAATAATAATTGATGGATTGGTTGACAAACGATTCAAGTTTTTAAATTATATGGTTAAAATTATATAGAAACGGTTACACTTAGTTGGCGAAATTTGGATCAAAAATCGTTCTTAGATTTTCAGAATCAAAAAAAAAAAAACCTATTCGGAAAGTAGTTGTAAAATTTTAAACAAAAATTTAAATTAATATAATTTTGTTGTTATATCATATAAAATTTATAGTTTTTCTATTGAATGAATCAATTTGTAATTTGAAGAATTAAAACTGAAAAAATAAAAACTCTTCTTATAGTAAGAAGAAATAATAAATAATTAGTAATTACTATCGATTTTTTTTTTAAATTTCGCCAACCAGAGATGATTATGCTAAATAAAACAGTGTGAAAAGAAATAATATACTTCTAAACTCAATCTGCTACGCCACTGAAGTGATTTTCAGTAAAACAATTAAATCAGAAACTATAAAAACCGCCTATTAATTTTCGTATCGTACCACCCTCAAACCTTTTGGCTATGACAAACAAACACAAAGACACAGATCTGCTCTGTTTATGCAATAGGGGGACTTTTTTCTTTTTTTCATCTTTAAATGGAGAGTACATTATACTAAAAGTAATACAACTTATAAAAGATCAGTTTTTTTATAAATAAATAACTGGCAGATATAGAGGACTACAAATGATTAAAAAATGAATTGTAAATGAATAATTTCCAATCGAAAATTGTTACAATTTGGTATATCATCTTTAAATGATTATGGCACATTTTAAATGGATTTTTGAAAAAATAAATAAAATTTCAACGTCAATGGAGGGTTTTCAAAATTATGTTCGTCAGCAGAAATGTTAGTTTTTACACTCAAAAAATCCAAGATAAAACATTACACATAAAAAACGAATTCATTTACAATCCAAATTAAAAAATTCAAATTTTACAACTACAGGGCTTCGAAACGAGCTAACATCAAATTATTTAAAAAAAAAAAAAAATCCAATGTTGCGTCGCTTTATTTTAAACCCGTTTTTGCACTATCCAGAATGACAGCGATGAGGAAGAATTAATTAAATCGTAAAAAAATACACTACACACATACCTCCAGTATTTCTCAATAAAATAAAACGAATCAATCGGAACGTCTTAAAAAACATACAGAGCGAATTTTTTTTTTTTTTTTTTTTGTTAAATTGTAGTCACAAGTCAAACTGTCAAATTTAAAATTGTTAAATGTGATTGGAAAAAATCACTCTGTAGATTGAAAAAACGGCGGTCGCTCACACACTGTCAGTTTTTTTTTTTGTAAGTACACACTTTGTATTTCATTTTTCTGTTGTTTGGGTAAAAAATAAGAATGAGAAAATTGGGTTAAATACACTTGCTAACATGTATATTTACAATAGAGGAATGAGAAGGCGACTTAAAAAACAAGAGAGACAGAAGAATTTATCTTACAAAATAAAAACGCCACGTTTACTCGTCATCATCGTCGTCGCCCTCTTCATCTTCCTCCTCCACTTCCGCTTCTGGCTCAGGTACTACCGGGTGCCCCAACTGCTGCATGGCGGGATTATTCCTCTTCTTGTATGCAGTCATTTCCTTAAAAAAAATAACATTTTAAGACGAGTGGAAGAGTAACTTTGATTTTTATCAAGTATTTGGTAAACTATTTGCTTTGTAAGTAGTTTGACCAATAAAACCATTTATTAATAATAATAATAATAATAATCATCAATCATTATTAAAAATTATGAATCATTACTAATCATTACTAATCATTACTAATTATTACTAATCAATAATAATACATATTAATCAATAATAATCATTATTAATAACACATAATGACTATTAATAATCATTAATGGTAATTAATCATTATTAATAAATATTGAAAGACTATTATTCATAATTAATCAATCATCTATAATAATTATTAACCATTACCAATCATTATTAATACACATTAATCATTAATAATCATTATTAATCAGTATTAAAAAACAAATATTAGCGACTATTTCTCTAAAGAAATAGTCGATATTTGGTCTAGTGAAATAGCCGTTCCAAATATAACACGACCATGATTAATATTCTACCATTTTTATTGTTGCTAAATTTCTAGAATATTTTACAATTTAATTCTACATAATTTTGGCATCAATAATCAATTGATTAAAGCTCTCGAGCTAAAGCTCTGGGCTCTGATCAGATTATTACTGCCAAAAATTGTCTCATCAAATTGATATTAAAATATTCTCAAGATTTAAATTTAACAAAAATAGCTGACCATTATCAAGGTCTTGGTATATTACCCTTGACTATTAATAATTATTGTTTATTATTGATTATTAATTATTATTGATTATTAATTAATTATTATTGATTATTATTGATTATTATTGATTATTAATGATTATTAATGATTTATTAATCATTATTAATAAATATTAATGTTTATTATTATTAATGAATCATTATAAATTAAATTAATTATCAATCATTATTAATGTTTATTAAAAATCATATCAATGGCATTTTACCAAACGGAGATAATATGAAGAATTAAATATTAAAACATAGTAAGTGCCAAATAACAGCCGTTTAGTACAAGCTAATTAATTTAGTTTAAAACTGCAGAACGAAAATTTCTGGTAGCCAAAGGATATTACGATGAAACAATTCTAAACTAAATTAATACACAAAATTTCTAAATTTTCACTATAACAATTTGAATATGACACTCTTCAAATAATCATAATTAACCATAATTAATCATTAATAATCGTTATTAGCCATTAATAATCATTATTCATAAATATTAATCATTAATAATCATTATTAAAAGATGATGACTATTAATAATTATTAATGATTATTAACGATTATTAATTAATCATTATTGATCATTACTAATTATTATTATTTATGGTTATAAATCATTATTAATTGTTATTAATCATGTTTAATCATTATCAATGATCATTATTAATTTTTATTATTCATTATTAATCAATTACAAATTAAATTAATTATCAATCATTATTAATGTTTATTAATCATTACTGATTATTAATCATTATTAATCATAATTGAAGTGTGCCACTTCTTTGCAAATGCGGATGTTGAGCTAAAAAATTATAAAGCGAAAATTTGTTCTGTGGTCCAATAATTGCGAAAGAACCAGGACACTGATTGTTTATGTAATTCTGGTGGCGAAAGGATATTACCATGAATTTGTTATAAACTAAATTAATACACATAAATTATATACCTCCTGAAAAATTTCTAAATTTGCACCTATCACCTTTTGCGTATGACACTTCAATTAATCATAATTTATGATTCTTATAAATATTAATGAATATAAATCAATATTAATATGAATGAATATGAATAAATATTAATGAATATAAATCAATATTAATATGAATTAATATGAATTAATATGAATTAATATGAATGAATATGAATGAATATGAATGAATATGAATGAATATGAATGAATATGAATGAATATGAATGAATATGAATGAATATGAATGAATATGAATGAATATGAATGAATATGAATGAATATGAATGAATATGAATGAATATGAATGAATATGAATGAATATGAATGAATATGAATGAATATGAATGAATATGAATGAATATGAATGAATATGAATGAATATGAATGAATATGAATGAATATGAATGAATATGAATGAATATGAATGAATATGAATGAATATGAATGAATATGAATGAATATGAATGAATATGAATGAATATGAATGAATATGAATGAATATGAATGAATATGAATGAATATGAATGAATATGAATGAATATGAATGAATATGAATGAATATGAATGAATATGAATGAATATGAATGAATATGAATGAATATGAATGAATATGAATGAATATGAATGAATATGAATGAATATGAATGAATATGAATAAATATGAATGAATATTAATCAATATGAATCATAATTAATCATTAAATCATTTTTATGTTATTAAATAACAATTAAATTGTTTGATGAACATATAAATTTACCTTCTCGTATCTGGCCTTGTCTTTGTCGGCCAAAACTTCGTATTTGCCTTTAGTTTCTTGGTCGGCATCGGCCCACCTTCTACCTAATTCTTTGGCAATATCACCTACTCCATATTCGGGATTGTGGGCTTTAACTTTGCCACGCTCATCGTTGCTGAACCAGAAGAAAGCAGATCTATAAAAAAGAAGTTAACCCTTATATAATAAAGTTACTATCTAATACACATGACTAAAATTTTATATACAAAAAATTATATTTTAATATATTTTTATTATCTAAAACCGTTCAACATGAGTATAGGGAAATAAACATGAATTTTTGGCTGTAGAATATGGTGAAATAATAAAAATTTATTAAAATTTAAACATGTTTTTTCACTCACCCTGTATAATAAAAAATCTTTTATTACCATGAATATGGTTATTTACTTCATAATTCAATTAAAAAACTTTCAAATTTTTACTAATTTTATTTAATGAAATAAATATTATTTTAATATTCAGAGTGGTATTTTTTTTTCTAATTTTTTTTATATAAATTACCAATTTCAGCTGTAATTTTTAACGAAAAACCCTCCATTTTGTTAGAAACAGATAGTTGAAAGGAACCAGTGATGTATTTATTACATACAATACTCTACTATTTAAAACTCTTTAAAGAATGTGTAATAAACAGGAAAAATATGTTCCAATTGCATTCGTATTTTAGTGTAGGTAGCCTTATCAAATGTTTGGTGTTGCTTATTTTTTATTGCAAACATACATAGTTTTTCAAATTACTACGACTTTTAGCATCAAAATGTAATCGTATATATTCGATTCGATTTTTTAAAGCTTTAATTTGATATTCCACAATTCATTTTTACTTTTCACTGTGAATATTTTAATATTAGTCATCACTGATAAAAAGCGAAAAAATGTCTTTATTTTATTTATATTATATAAAAAAAATGGTTAACTACTTTTCAAAACGATTTGTAAATAATGTTCTCAAATCCTATGCAGAACACAACGAAGCACTAAGATACATAACCTCATTATTATTCTAAAAAAAAAAAAAATTATTCCCTTTTCACAAAAATAATCAAATATATTAGAATGATTGGACAATAAAAACTTTTACAGCAACCTATTATTTCGAGCAAAATTTTAAAGTATTTTAAATATAAAATTAATTTAAGTAATATGCATATTTTTTACATATTATGTAAAAAAATTCAATTCTGCTTCCTACAACTATTTTTCTTATAGATTGCAGAATTGTGAAATATAATAAGTCTTATTGTGTTTTTAAAGGAAAGAATATGCAATATAATGCAAATAAATAAAATTAGACACTTAATATTATTAAATAGAAATATAATCTTAACACATAAGCGATTATATCGAAAAACTAAAACGTATCGCTTCTCCGGTGAAACATTGATTTAAGAGAAAAATATGTTGCAATATTTTTTCTGCTCAATGATGATAATAATAATTTCATTAATATAAAATACGTCAAAATTTTTCAAAATTAAACTATACAAGGTGGCCACTGGTAACGTTTAGGTCTGTAGAGGCAAAACAACAAGATGTATATCAGAAAAAGTAATAATTTAAAAATAATTTTAATTATACAGGGTTTTCCAAGGGTACATATCAAAGTTAGAGATTTTTTAAATTTTATTTTATATTTGAATTGCCCACGGTTTTTTCATTATAACCAAATAGTATGGGATTATACAGAGTATTTAACGCGCTATAACCAGTTTTATATGAAAATCATATTGATTTCAATGACCTGTATGCTGTAAAAGAAACAATTTAAACCCAACTGTTAACTAGAAGAGGATGCAAAAAGAGTGCGTGTCTAAATCTGTATTTTCCAAATACCGTATAGTTGTAAAAATTATTTTCAATATACAGGGTGGCACCGGTAGGTAACGCCTCGGTCTGTAGAGCCAAAACTATTTGTTTTTTTTTATATCAGTTTTCTCAGCGAGATGTATACCTACCAGAAAAGGCAACAATTTAAAAATATGTTCAATTATACAGTGTTCTCCAGAAAAATGATACATATCAAAGTTATTTTAAATTTTATTTCATATTTGAATTGCCCTAGCTTTTCCAATTATAACAATACAAAATGGTATCGGATTATTCAGAGTATTTCACATGCTATGGCCAGTTTTATATGAAAACAGAATTGATATTAATGACCTGTATACTGCAAAAGAAACAATTGATATTAATCAACATTTTATGCCAATGCACTTACTTTTTTTTAATTCGAAACAAATCTGTACAGGGTGATTCAAAAAAGTTGCAACGACCTACGTGAGCAAAATAAAGGGGTTAATGCAAAATAACCCTTTGGGAATGCTTATCCAACTTTTTAAAATAGAATGGTTTCAAATAGCTCAGTCGAAAGAGGGTCGTAAGTAATAAGATACGAGGCACTTTACTTATTGTACCTACTTGGGCACAGGCCAGTTCTAATGAAATAAAACAATTGGTTGATAGATTTACAATTATTTTAGGTTTATGATAAAAAAAAAAAATATAAATAAGCGTGGTATTCAGGAAAATGTATATTTCAATCGTTTCTTTTAAACAAAATGGTAAGTATTAAAATCTACAGGTTGCGTACCGATTAAATAGATATCTATTCGGGCCTGTTAACAGTGGTTAATATATCGGGTGTTCAACTTAAAGCGTTACAGCTATATACAGCTTTTTATAAAAAAAAAAACGTTTCAGACGAAAGTTTTATAGTTTTGTGGGGAAAAACTTCTGGCTAAAATCGTTTTTCATAGCTAACCATAATATGACTAACTTTTTTTCGCGCAGCAACATTTTCAAGTAGCTGTTACTCAAAAAGTAAAAGTCCAATAAAAAAAATATTTCCCTCAAAAGTTTCTTATTTTTTTATGTACTTTAAGAATATATAAGAAAAAAATGGGATTCCCATTTAAAAAAACAAAGTTTACCTCGATATGGCCATATTATGATCAGCTATAAAAAAATGAATTTAGCCAAAATGTTTCCCCCAAAAAACTATAAAACTTTTGTCTGAAACTTTTTTTTCTAAAATGCATATTTTCAGCGGTATTTAACTGTAACACTTTAATTTGAAATAAATCATAGTTTAGATTGCTCGGTTATATAAAAAATATGTACAATTTCTTTTTTTTACAGGGTATCCCTGCGCACTGAGGTGGGAATATACGTTAGCCTAAACTTAAGTTTTGGGGATTTTTAAATTTAAATGACTAAAAAGCCAATAATTCAAAAGATACATAAATTTTTACTGGTCACTGGTTAATAGGAAATAAATTGTTTGGCAATTAGTAATTAGAATTTAACCAATAAATAAAGATTTATTTGCATTTTTTTTTAGACATTTGCATATTATGTATGGGTAAATTTAAAAATGAATAATTCATCACAAAATCTTGTCACGTAGGTATTAGGTATACATAAATAAATATTTTTTATTTTAAGTATATTTTTTATTTTAAGTTTATTTTTGATATAGTTAATGTCATACTTGGTACTTTCCTTATTTAAATTGTATTGGTTAGATTGGCGAAAGGGAGGCGAATGGCACATGACAGTTAAGGATACTATAGAAAGGTGTCCTTGAAATAAAACCGACCTATGTTTGAGTTTCTTTAAAAAAAGGTGTCCTTGAAATAAAACCGACCTATGTTTGAGTTTCTTTAAAAAAGTTCTCCTTAGGAAGCAAAATCGAAATTAGAGCGTTGAAATTTATTTTATATATCTGTTATTCACCTTTTCATATAATACAATGTTTGGTGCGGTACTAGCCAAGGGGGTAGTTGTTTTCAAGAGGGAAATGTTCGGTCGTCGTTGGTGTGACACGGTCTTACGAGATTTTTAATTTTTTCATTTTTTATTTTTAAATTGGTCACATTTGAAAATAGGAATATTTTTCCTTGGTTTTTTCAGTCAAATAGTTTTATTTTTTTTCTTATATAATTTAAGCACTACATATGTTTCGGAAATACAATTTTTCCATCTTCTGGTGCATTCAATTTACAAAAAGTATGGGGACGAATCAGTGTGGCCATTCTAGTACAATTGTACTAGATCTAGTACATTTTCTAAGAATCTAGTACACTCGAAGCAAAATCTAGTACCTTTTTATTTTTCAGCGTGTTATAGATAAAGTAAAAGTTGAAAAGTCTTTTGGTAGGTAGAGAGGGGGTAATCGTCAAACCACGTCGGGCGGCTCTGAGAATTTCGCAGTAATGTTTACCTGCCAGTGTCGTTTAATAGAATAAGTAATTTTAAATTGTTATCGGCGGAACCATGTATTTATGGATTATAAATAATTATTAAACATGTATTATAATATTCAAATCATAATTTTACAAAATTTCAACAGCTATTCACAATTTATTAAACTATTTACTCGAAATTGTTATTACCATCTATAAAATAATTTTGTACGCCAATGTATCGCGTCCACTTCGGTGAGATCCGCTGCCAACCTGTCAATTTATGTGTATAAAGTGGGAGAACTGGCAAAAGCATTTTCAACTTTTACTTCTGTTCTATAATTTGACGCGTGTAAAATATATTGGGATTTTGATCCTCGTTTTGTTTTCGTTCGCTAAAAACACTTTTTTCCTCACATCACAAAGCATTCGAAAATCTGGTACATTTTACAGAATCTAGTAATACAATCTAGTACATTTTTTAGACAAATCTGGTACAAAAAATATCTTGGGACACTGGGACAAAAAGTGCGATATGGACAATCCACTCAAGTTTTACAATATATTTTTTCTACGACCCACTAACGAAAATCTATAATTTAAAAAATTATTTTAGGTTATTGAGATAAAATAACTAATTTTAAAATAATTAATGAATTTTTATCATTTATATATAAAAAAAAGATTAAATTTTATTAGTCTCCAACCAGGAATCGATCCCGGACTTCTCGCGAGGAACGCAAAAGCTCTGTCCACAGCTTCACGGCCGTTTGTACAATTTTAGTTTTAATACTCGTAATTAAATTAGTCTCTTATAGTTTATTTTTTTCAAATGTGGACCAAATAAAAATGCTATTATTCATTGATTCTACACAAAAACATTCTAATGTATATTTAATCTCAATAACTAAAAAATATACTGACAATTGTCAGTTATTTAAAATTTTAACAAAAATAGTAGGTGGGTGTCCAAAATATGAACTGTGATTGGTTGATTTCATTTTTTTGCAGTGTTCTCACTACCTAGAATGAATAAAAAAAATATATTCGTTCAATTGAGCGCAATAGCATACTTTTTCGTTTTGTAGTCTGTGCATAGATAAGCTAATATCCAAGTGGGTGTAGAAAAAGAAGCTTTTTATTTCGTAAATTTCTATTTCAAATAGAAAACATAGATTTTTGGTTACAAATCTTAAAAAACATTTAGTGATCTGTTTTAATACGTAGTTTTTTTAAATAAATTTAGATTATATTACGAAAATTTTAATTATGTGCTGCACCTACCTAATCATTTTGAGCACACGTTTTTTTTGCATATATTAAGTTATTTATGTTTATTTTGGACTGGATTTATGCATATTTATGCACATAAACTTATTAAGTAAATATTTGCCTAAGTCTAGTTATTACTAATGTCACTAGCATTGCAATATTTGTTTTTAAAAAGTTTAGCCAGTTTTTTTAATATGATCTAGTCGTGAATAAGAGAAGTATTTAAAGTGTTACTTAATAAATGCTTAGAAATGTGAGTTGGACCTTTGAAAACCACCTCTAGACCTTTATTAACATTATTGGAGGCCACCTAGAGAAACACTCTTCTAATTAAATTAGATCTGCCAAAATAACACTTATTATAAAGTAGGTAACGTGAAGTTTTTATTTGCCGTTTTTATTTATTTTTTACTGAATGTAAAAGTCTCATTAGATTTGTCAGAAACTTATTTACTTGATAATAAATTATAGTTGATCAAATTTTAATTGCCAATTAATTAAAAGTCTTTTTCCTATTAACCAGTGAATTATTATCTTTTTTTGTCATTTACATTTAAAAACAGAAGTATAATTTTAGGGTACCTATTTTAAATGGCGATATAGAATTTAAAAAATGAAGATTTATTCTAAATTGAAAAAATTGTGCTTCGGAATATTATGTTGACTAACATCGAAAAACTTTTACCTCGTATAAAATAAAAAACGGGGGAAATTTAAAAAAATCTAACCTTTTCGGTTATTTTGTACAACTTGTATCACCTCTAAAAATGTTTAAAGGATACATACATTTTTCACATACATCTTACTCGAAACTTTTTTTTATATTGACAACGAAAATACCGAAAAATTAAAGTTCTCTAATTTTTCAATTACGGTCCATTTTAGAAAAATTTAGTATAAAATAAAAATTATAGAGAATGATTTTCTTAAAAATTCGAATTTTGTACTTTTTGTCGAATATTTTAGTAAAACGTATAGAGCAAAAATTATAGAGAATCACATTACAAGCAACTTTTATTTGAAGAATTTTCTTCTCAAATTAGTCCACCGAAGGACGGATTAAAGCTTAAAATTTGGTATTTTTCTCTTTATTCGTATTTGAGTTATCTTCAAAATTCTACATTTGCATTTTTACTCAAATATCTCAAATTTTTAGAGAATATTATATTTTTTTTATTTTTTCTCAAATTTCTGGGACTATTTTAGGAAAATTTTGTATAAGACAAAAATTAGATATTTTTTTATTTTTTCTCAAATTTCTGGGACTATTTTAGGAAAATTTTGTATAAGACAAAAATTAGATATTTACACATTTTACCAGAATTATAGAAAATAATAAATATAACAAACAACTTTTATTTGAAGAATTTTCTTCTCCAAGCGTAAATAATAGATATATTCCATCATAAAAACGACCCCTTATAAAGTACCACCCCAGATGTTCCAACTATGCCGCAGGATGGCTTAAAGCTTAAGTTTAGAATTTGGTGCTTTTCTCTGTATCCGTTCATGAGTTATCGAGTATACAGACACGCACACATCATCGCAAAAATAGTCAAAACAAATTCAGGGGACACCAAAACGTAAAAATCCGTCGAAAACTTGAGGTCGAAACATCATGATTTCTATTACTGTCCTTATCTGTATACAAACAGGAAAGTAACAATACTATTAACTATTAAATAACGACTTTCGTGTAATTACGCCATGGAACACTTATTTTTTTTAATTTTGGGATTTACCTTGCTTATTTGATTTCCCAAATTTTATATTTCCTGATTTGTATACAGACAGAAAAGTAAAAGTATCAAATAGTTTTGGCTCTACAGAGGCGTTAGCGGTGGTACTCTCTGTATATTGAAAAATAGTTTTTACAACTGTACTGTATTTGGAAAATTACTCTTTTTGCAGCACCCTTTCGGTTACGTCACTATTCCCTTTATTATCACTTTATAAATTAGGAATGACGCAACATATATTATTGACGTTGTTTCGTATTTTTTTTTTTTTTTCTTTTTAAAAAGTACAAGTAAATTTGTGTCGTATTTAAAAAAAAACTCGTAGTTGGGAAAACAACAAACATCTCATGTGGCAAACGACCAAGAGGTTAATTTCACCGGACATTTTATTATTTTTTATAAATTCTAAAATTTGTACTCATTCCACCTGAGAAACAATATTATAAAGTAAAATTTCGAAATCCAGGAATAAAGAATTTAAAATTTCATTTATTTACCTAACCATAATCATGTAAATGGATTTGTTTTGGATGAACTTAGTTTGATTCTTAAAATTGAAATAACGGTATGTTGCAATGCATGTCTAATTTAAAATTATAAAGAACACTTAAATCTTTTAAGACATTCCATACATTTTATATAGCACAGGTTTATAACCAAACACCTATTTGAATAGATTGTCGATTGATCAAACTGTGCATTATTTTATTTGAAAAAATATTACATAGCGATGGTTAAAGGACAAAAAGTCGATTGTGGACTTTTTAAGCTATAAAAGCTCATAAGTTATATTAGTTTTAAAACTTTGACTTAAAATTTTCCTTTTTTTATAATCAAAAACGCATAAATCACAAACATCGACTTTAACCATAAATAGAAATAATTTAAAATAACTGTGAAAACAATTCAATCTAGAAATTACGCTCATCATGTTCAAAAGATTTTTGTTAAGTTTATATTTTATAATTATGGTACTTACAGCGAACGCTTGGGAGCATTGGGGTCTTTGACTTGCTTCCTTTTTTTGCCTCTTTGCTTCTCGCCCTTAGGAGGAGTGTAGCTTTGCATTTCGGTGTCATAACGTTTTTTATCGTTTTCGGCCATTTCGTGGAAACGTTTCTTTTCTTTGTCTAACATGGTCTGAAACAAGATTAAATTTATTAAATATCCATCGGTTATTAAATAGTTAAATATAAATAAAATACATGTGTAGGAAATGACGAAAACAAATTTTCAAGATATAGAAAACAACCTTTAATAACCAAATTAAGCAAACATTTTGTTTACACGCCACTGGTTGCAATATAAGTGACTGAAAGTACATTTCTGTATTGTAAGTAGATCGTAGTAAATTAAATTCAATTGAAGACCTTTTTACAAAAACGACACATGTCCAAAATAACCTTTGCACAGGAAACACAAAAAAAACATTAATACTTTGCAGAAATCTGTAGAAAACAACTATACTAATATGCAAGTAAATACAACCACTGGCTACTAATTATTGTTACAGTTACTTCAGGCATTTTTGTAATGTCACACCTTTAATCATAAAGTGGCACAACTAAAAAAATGTAATGTAATGTAGTTTCGTAAAATCTGCCAAAAACTGTTTTATATTTGGAGCTGTATTAGAATGTTTGAACTTTCGACAAAATTTACGATTATGGACAAATGAAATTTGTGAAAAGGTTAAGAAATATTTTCAAGATGTATGATTTAGTATCTTTTAAAGAAAGTAGGAAAAATCGTTTTATTGTTAGATAAAAAAATATTCACAGTTAGGCCACTTTAGTAATAAAAAGAATATGTATCAATAAGAAATGTGTCAATTTATAATTTATGACTAAAAATTGCATAAAGATTTTATAATTATTTTAAAATAGTTCTTTTTTGGATTATTTTTGCAAATGATGCTATTTCAAACCCTGTCAATGTTTGCACACAACCGAAATTATGTCGCTTTAGGTCTAAACAACCTTACAAAATCCGATAGAACTAAACCCTTTATAAAGATGTTGCTCTAATCAACAGTATTTTTACCACTTATCTTAACCAAATGTTTGTTTACGTGGGGATGAGAGATGATTTTACTCACGCAAGTTGGTTATACATAGAAAACTTTTTTATTAGTTTTATCCAAAAAATGTATTCTTTATAAAAATTTCTGCATAATATAAAACCTAAAATAAAACCATCAGGTATTGGATTTTTTGAGCCGTATACGAGTTTTTGTCAAATATGAATGTACTTCACTCGACAAAAAAATTTTTCACGAACCTCGTATACAACTTTTATACCTATCTGATAGTTGTAATATAGATTTTAGACCATGCACAATTTTTTTTGAAGAATAATTTTTTTTTGATAAAACTAGTAACAAAAAAGTTTTCCATATGTTAGCCAACTTACGTACACACTGTATACAGGGTGGGCCACCGGTAATCCTCGGTCTGTAGAGCCAAAACTAAATGATTTTTAAAAAAATCTGTTTTCACAACAAGATGTATATCAGAAAAGGCACCAATTTAAAAATAATTTCAATTATACAGGGTTCTCCAAGAAAGTGATACATATCAAAGTTAGTCCTATTAGAAATTATCAAAAACGTTTTTAGTCGATAATAAATTACAGCTGTTTAAATTCTAAAAAACAGTCTTATTTAAAAAAAAAAAAAAAAAAAGTAATTGAGTTTTATCTCACTCTGTACAATTTTTTTCTAATTAAAATAGTGCATCCGCATAAATTTTAACTAATATTGAAAACCTTTACCGCAAAAAAATTGGTTTTCAAGTGTTTCTTTAGTATTAGACAAGTCATTAAAATCATTAGGATTTTTATATTAAACTGGTTATAGCTGTGAAATACCCTGTAGAATCTCATACTATTTGGTATTGTTGTAATGGAAGAAGCGCGGGCAATTTAAATATAAAATAAAATACAGGGTATCCTATTTTGAAAAAACCTAACTTTGATGTATCATTTTCTTGGAAAATGCTGTATAATTGAAATTATTTTAAAATTGTTGTGTTTTCTGATATACAGATTGCTGTGAAAACAGAATTTAAAATAAAATCAAATCATTTTGTCTCCTCAGACGCGAAGCGTTACCGGTGGCCCACCCTATATAATAGGAACTTTCTGCAAATTATTTTTTATTCTTTATGTTCTCATTAAGTTAGGTATTTTTTCATTTAAAATAAATTATGTAAAATAATGTTTTATTAGAAATGTTCCTTCCTATAAAATAATTCTGATATATACAGGGTGTCCCAAAAAAGTAGGTCAATCCATTGACCATAGATTCCTTAGGTCAGTGTAAGAAACCACTATATTTTTTTACGATTAGGGAATCACGTGCACAACTAGCGCCCTCTATGAGGTAGGTGATATTTAGGCTCAAATTATGATTTGTCAAAAAAACCTCGGTGTACCAACTTTAAACCATCGACTTAAAACGAAAATATAATGAAAAACCGTATTTTTTTAAAATTAACTTTGTCACCCTGTATATTGAATAAGATGGTCCAAATCAAAAAAATGGTAATAGGTGTTTCTTATACTAAATCTATGGTTAACGGATTGGCCTACTTTTTTAGAACACCCTGTATACTATAAGAAAGGCACTTAACAATTTGCAATTATAAAAAAAGGTAAAGCGGGAGCTGCTGGATTTAATTTTTTAAATTTTTTATATTTTTTAAATTTTTATATTTTTTAAATAAACAATGCTGTATAAATATACAGTGAGCACCATAAGTATTATCTAACTCGTTACTGGAGTCTTGTTAGGAAAATCGCCGAGACAGGTCGATTTTTGATTTCTACAATGTACATTTTTGTATGAATAGTTTACCCTTAATTTCATCCCTTACTGGAGGGGAGCAACCCTTTCGAAAAATTTAAATGGCATGGTGTGGTGAGTGATAGCTCATTTGAAAGAGGGTTTTATTCTCTATTCAACCGTGTAAAAAAATTTGAAATTTGCTTCATTAATTCTCGACTAATTGTTGTTTCAGAATAACGGAAATTAACGTAGCGCACTCATCCTTAGAATTAAAATTCGGCCCTGCATGACTTCGGTTTTGGTTCAGACGTGAAGTAAGACTTTTTGCCATTAGAAGGTTTTGTTATTTTTAAACATTAATAAATCAACATGTAATGATGCAAATTTCAAATTTTTTTTGCACGGTTGAATAGAGAATAAAACCCCCTTTCAAATGAGCTATCACTCACCACCCCATGCCATTTAAATTTTTCGGGAGGGGTTTTTACCGTTGTGTTAAACGAAGTTTAAAATGACATTTTTACATTAACAATGTTATTTTAATCTCCGTTTAACTCAACGGTGGAATCAGCCCTTAGTAATTCAAATTTGCTTTGTGATAAATACGGACCTAATCTGGCAAGCCCGCAATTCTCCCTCCCATAGTATAAAATCTGACCTTACTACGCATGTACCTGGGCTAAAAGTGAGTAAGCACGATATACCCACCTAAGAGTAAGAGAGCAAAATATATGGGAGCACTCCCATGGGAGCGCTCCCATGACTTAGTGAATGGCTATCCTGGTCTTGGCTGTATGACAGGACGCGCCATCTTGTTGAGAAGTAAAGTTTCCATCAGGTGATAAAATTGGACACTAACAAATTGGTTTCAAGAATGTTCTGATATTTTTCTGCGTTTACAATTCCGTCTATAAAGTGCAGTTTTCCAACACTGAAACCAGACATGCTTCCCCATACCATAACACCTGATGGAAATTTTATTTTTCTCTTTAGGCAGTCTTTGTGGAAGGCTTCATTTTTATTTCTTATAACACGTGATCGATGGTCACCCACGCAAACATCAAATTTTGATTCATCGCTAAAAATGATTCTTTTCCATTCTTCAAAAGTCTACATTGCCCATTCCTTTGCCCACGCTAATCGTCTTTTCTTTTGTTTTTCCGTCAGCAACGGCTTTTCTCTTCCCTAAACCAATGATTTCACTGCATAAATGAGATTTTCCTTAAACGTAACCTACGTACCTTATAAAAATGTAAACCAGACTTATGGATCCAGCGACGACACGTTTCTCGTGAAACATTTCCAATTATTTCTTCATTCCATTTTGCTGTTATTTCCCTTACAGTACTTCGGCGATCAGTTTTACAAATCCGAATAAGAGATCTTTGCATTCGGGAAGTGACTTTGCGTGGCCGACCAGCACCATGTCTTGAAATTTGAGTTGAACCCGTTTCTCCATATTTTTTCACAATATCTGACACCGTGGACTTTGCGACATTTATTTGTTTAGCAATATCCCGAAAGGTTTTTCCTTGGTTAAACAGTTTTACTATTAATTCTCTAATTGCACCATTTGTTGCTTTACCACGCGACATTTTGGAGACAATTGATAATCGAATTAATTCTCAAGTTAAAATGTCAAAATAGAAACACTTTTTTTTGTTTCTATGGCTTGCTATTATTTGTTTTACTAACGTGTCCGAACATTTATGTGTCAGCAAATATTGCATTTTTATCAACATTAGTTTAGTTTTATTAATCAATATTAGTTTATTTGAAAACAATTTCATAAATATGATGTAAACAATAAATAATATTATGTCTTATAAATGAAAAACATATGATATTGAATCCCTTATGGAAATTTTCAAACTTTTTCGCAAAATCAGTTGATGTCCGAACATTTTTTGTTAGGGCTCGTATGTTAATATTAACCAGCATCAAATTACATTTTTACCTAATTAAAATACACATTAACTACAATTTTCAGTCTTTTATAACAATAATTATATAAATTATGGCAACACCACAAATTACATTTTTGATAGGTACTTTAAAATCAATTAGTAGAAATAAATACTAAAAAACATGACTGACTATTCGTATTTCATCAGGACTTAAGATTAATAATTGAAGTTTATAAGTTTTGGTTCGACATGCATAAATAAGAATCATCCATGTTGTCGAAAATTACATTAGTATTCAGTATATGTAGAGTAGAGGGTAAAACGAATCAAACGAACGCAAGCGCTGCTTGTCTCACTCCAGAATCCGAAAATCAATTGTTCCACACAAGGGTAAAATATCTCCAACTAAAGGCTTACGTGAGATTCTAGCGATATCGCGTCAAACA